TCCCAAAAGTAAAAAGGCGACTTTGACCACACGTGTGAAAACTGCAAATTCAAACCAAGTGGATCCCCAAGTAGAGGGCCCGCATGGCCTTCACTCCTTTTCTCGGATCGGATCGCTTTTTCAAAAAATGCGGCATCCCCGCCTCGGATCGAGGCGGCTTGCCTGGCAGCTGGCAACAAACGAAAGTCTCTTAGAGCTCAGCAAATGGGCACCGGGTTCCGTTTTTTGGGCTACCTTAAGATAGACTTAAACCCAGGGGTGTCCCTTTTGGGGGAAATCAACCACCCTCGAAATAAATCCAAAATAAATGGGCATGGCGGTTTTGTTGCGGGTACCCTTTTATCTATAGGGTTCTTTGCGCGGAATGGGGCACACTCTTTGAGGCACCCGGTCGGGTGTCTAGTTTAAAGGGAAACCAAGAGGAACAACCATTTGAGGGGTGCCCCTATTTCTACACGTGCTCAAATATGCCCCCGACAGAACAGACATACACGTTTTCAGGACAATTTTCAGAGAAAACGGTTCTCCCTCCTGTGCTCTGAGTTTTATCATTAATTCAACAGGCTAACGAATACACAATCCTGGCTTTGAATTAATTCTTGCATTCTCTCGGCATTATCGAAAAATGGGAGAGCCTAAATATGTCTTCGATTGAATTGCCTTTGAAAAATAACCAAAAGGGTCAAAGGAGAGGTTCACTCACCTAGTTGAACGCAATACATGTCCATCAACCCCAAGAAGCATGTCGCGGTTCTTCATGTCAAAGGTCATCCCCAACGTAATTGGAGCAAACACCAAAGTTGACAAGAGACAAGCAAGCTTTCGCGCTGTGGAGTGGACGGTTGAGCCAGCAAGATGTTTTTATGTACTCCAAAATAAGCCAGTTAGAACCATCCACTAACACAGCGCGATTGGAATCGGCTTTGGGCGCTATGATAGGAACAAGGTTGTTTTCATCTGCCCAATGAACGACCTGCAGCAAACACCGACAGCTTTTTTTGTACTGGGCCTGCCATAACTCACTGGTGATTGGAAACCTGTTTTGTGGTAAAATAGATAACCCTGCCTCATTTGCTCGTGCCCAAAAACCAGCCAAATAAACATGCAACCTAGTCAAAATCAAAGATAGCAAACCTTATCTCAATGACTTGGTTCTGTGCGGATACTTAGAATAGAATGGGGGCATGGGGTCTGTTGAATACTTGGTCATGATGACAAAAACATAAATGCCCATAATGCGTATAATTATATTGCCTCTTCACACAACTTACATTATCACGACTCTCTTTGCACTTCAGACAGGCGATAGCCTGTCTGAGCCAAGGTATCCACAAAATGCCCAGCATCAAGTGAAGACATTCCAGATTGCTTAAGCCCCTGGAAAAACATCTATTTCCAGTAGTGACAGATTCCCTTTAAAAGCAAAAGGAATAAAATACTCAACAAACGGAAGAGACTCTGGAGACTCACATGTTCCGCCAAGTCCGAATCCGATCGGCCAATGTATGGAATCTGAGTTGTCAAAACCTGGCTTTGACATGCCGGGTGCTTTTGTTCTTGTGAGTGCGCCATTGTTGCGGCTTAAAAGGGATACCCACTACCCTCCACTTGCCTGGGTTTTGATGTTGTAGCCTGCTCCCAACTTCATGTGAAGTTGCTTTCAGGGCGTCCGCAATGCATGGTTGGGCCGGCACCCTCCTCTCCAATTGCTGGGCTTCTTGGAGAGGGGGATTTTGGAAGTTGGTGAATCAGCTGCGGATCGGATGGCTGGAAGGGCTGGAAGCTTTGGAATCTGCCGTCGGCATTGCGGAGCTGAGTTTGTCGACTGCTACCAAAGTGTTGCCTAGGCCCCAGTCAACAAAAGTGTCCCTAGAGATCGGACCCAACTAATGAACGTGTGAGAAGGTGAGTGTTGTCCTGTGTTCAGATCTTAGATGATTTTTTTTACGGCACCTACCCTTTACGTAAGCTCAACCGGGACGTTTCCCAGGGGTCTGAAATGTTTAATCAGGCAATCGCCCATTTAGATTAAAAGGTCCTTGTGATGGGGGAAGATGAGTCACGGCCCTCATGCTTACTTGCTAAGAGCTGCTGTCCCGAGGCTACCCATAGGGAAATCAAAATTATGTTCGACGAGAAACAAGGAAACAGGAAACAACAACCAGTTCGCCAACTCGCAAACGCTGCCACTGGTACTTCGCTTTGTTCTGGACCACTTTGGTCGATTCCGAGACCCAATCATTGATGCTTTTGAGCCAAGGGCAACACTGTGGAACACAACCATTCGGGTGGGTCTCAAAGTAGGAATCGAACCCCCCAAATGGCTAACGCTGGAACAAACAAAAAGAAGATCAGGGAAGACCTAGAAATACACCTACCCCAAAAAAGCAGGTGGTACCGAACCACAACAACAACAAACAAAAAAGACACCACCACGGACTCTTCCCGACAGTCCGTCCTGCGCGGTTCGCCAAGTCGAGGGCAGCGAAGGTGAGCCTTAGCGCGTTGTTGGCGCGCGTTCTGTGTTTCCTACCATGGGCCATGACCCTTCGAACACGACATGTTCAAAGGGTCATGGCCCATGACAGGTTGTGGTCAATTATCAAGAAAACATGGGGTCATGACCCATCGTTTTCAAAGGGTCATGAAATTCGAGGTAGACATTCAATCGAACCATGGGTTGAGGCTTTCGTGGAACTCGAGTGCTGAAATGGCAATCAATGAATTGAATGGGGAGGGGTACTTTGAATTGAAGATTCGATCATACTCACCGGATCCATGTACCTGTTCCGTAGATAGCCAAGGGAACCACCTTATAAGACCAAAAGGAAAGTGGCCACTTACCCACAATGTGGGGAACTGGGATCCACCAGGATCGGAAAGTCGGACTTGATATTCCCACACCTGTTTGTTGATTGATGGATTTTACTATGTTTCTTGCGCGGGGAGGGCACTGGAAGAGTTTTTTGAATAACCCATTTTGGGACTGCTTGGCATACCGGCTTGCAGTGCAGTGACTTCACCAATTGTATATGTCACTTGTGCCAGCTGGGAGAAAGAGCCGCACCGAGACAGCGAACCTACAGGTTCGATTGCCTGAAAGATAATCAACTTCCACTTGAATTAGCCCCTGGAAAAAGACACACGCACACACATTTCCAATAGTGACAGATTCCCTTTCAAAGCAACAGGAGAAAATAAACAAACCATCTTAAGCAAATGGAAGTCAACATTTGAAATGAGACGCCGGAACTTCATCCAGCCTGGGACTGCAAGCTGAAGATGCTTGGGATCAGTCCCAAATTCAAACTGGGAGGGGGGCATTTCCGAAATTCGGCCAAACAACGGCAAGTTCGTTCACCAAAGACCGCATTATTCACATTGAAGCACATGTCAACCCCTCAAGTCTCAAAGTTAAAGAGTCGAGCGCTGCGTGGACAAGGAGTCGCGGAATCGATACAGTGGGTATCCAGTCGACGGGTAGATACGGCCTCTGAGGGCCTTTCAACATTTTCCGGTCGGCGTCCCTTTCAACCACACTCGAGCAAGGATGGCGATCAAATTTTGGGACCCACAGTTGGGATCGCCGATGCTCTTTTCCCTCACCAAAAACAGGCACCCCAAAGTGCCACCCAAAAGTGCCACCCCTTTTCGGCCTTTGTTAAAATATAATTGAACTGGGGGGGTTTTCTGTTTGGGGTATCCCTTTCAACCACCACTTAGCTCCGGTAACTTTGAGCATGTCCCTGACCCAGAAATATGGGCGTGTCTTTTCAATCAATCGGACCCCAAATCAGATTTCGGTTCTCCTGTTGGTTTCCCTTCAAAACCAAAAACTGTACCAACTCCAAGAACACACACCCCAATCCCTTTGAAAAGCAATAATAACCATAAGAAACACCAGTGTGAACATAGAAGCAAGACCCGCCTAAAACGCCTAAAAGACACGCCCGTGTAGCTGGGACCACCCTCTCTAAGTCAATCACACCTCGCCTCCGCAGGCGCTGCTCCAAGTTGAAGAGGTCCCGTTCCATGTTGCATATTCGGTGCGGACCGGGTTTTTCGCAGGCCGTGTTGTCCAGAACTTGGAATATGCATGTGTGTATATATATGTATATGTATATGCATCTGTCTGTCTATTTGCATGTATAACCCATTTTAACGTTCAGAGCTTACAACTCGTATATACATATATATATATATATATGTAGGGTGTAAAATTGATAGGGAACTCCGTGGACATCATTTGGGTGGGGCTTCATGTCCAACCACATTTGAAGCGGTTCCGGTTTGAAACTATTGGCCATATGTATTTAGATATAATGATGTATAGAAATGTGCGAGTCTTTGTTGAGGGTCCCCTATTTTGAGAACCACATCATAAACCGGAATGAACAAAAACACATGACCGAGCGGTTCAGATCTTCCGCAGTCTTGACAGGTTGGGAAAAAAGGCCGTGCCTGCGCCTTGTTGACTGCACCCGACTCAGAAAGCTGTTCTTTGCAGCCTAGCGCAAGAGCCAGCATCAAAGCGGCGCCGTGAAAGTTCGGAAAGCCGTTCTTAAAAACGTCGCCGCCAACCTCCGCCACTTCTGCTGCGCAGATCCTCTGATTGCTGGGACTTCCAAACCCGTGAATGGTGGACTCCCCCCATCCAGGGAAGGTCCTGAGGGAGCCGTCTCAAACGGGCTGCTTAGCATTTTCTAATTCTCCCCGATGCTGTGAGGCCCTTTGCGCATTTCGCCATGGTGCTCCAAAAATAATCACACCATGGATGGTGCTGCTGGTTGTGTGTCCTGTTTGGTTGTTTTCGTTGAAAATAGATGGCCCCGGTTGACCTGCTGGTTTCATAATCTGACGGGGCCATCCATTTTCCCAAAACCTATGGCCGCAAATAGCACATCCTTACCCCATGGTGTTGGGGAAGAGGATTGCCATCTCACCCATGAAGATTGCGTTCATATATTTACCTTGATGTTGTCTTGGCGAAATGCTGTCCTGCAGTTTAAGATGGAATCCCACAAACCCTCATTTGAGCTTTCTGCAATAAAGCGGGACATCCCTATGTCTGCTTTGTCAGTTTCCGAAATGCTTCATTCTGCAACATTGTGCGCTTGTCATATTTTGCCAACTGGAAGTAAGAAATCCCCAAGTAAGAAACTGTTGTATGGGTATGCTCGCTCATCCCCAGAGAGCTCGCTGTGATCGTGCAAATGGCTACTCTAAAAAATGAGTCAAGAGTATCAGAAACGGTGGCAACCGTTTCTTGCGCATGTGCGGGGCTAAGCACTAGGGTCCTCTTTCCCACCAGAATAGCTCTTGGAACCCTTCCAAGAACCCTTGAAAGACTCTAAGAACCTATTTCCTGGATGGGTCCCCAGTTGTTTCCCGAAGCGCGAGCACTTGTCATGTCGCTGCGTCGGCTTTTGAAAACTGCGGTCTCGCAATTGCCCAATGACTTGGCTGTGGCTCAAAGAATGTACCAAAATAGCCCCTTGACTTGGTAAAAAAAGGTAACAAAGACCAAAACCTGCGTAACCCTGACTCCGTAATTTTGAGCCACACCCATTTCCCAGGTTGGAAACCCGGGCCTCGCCTTTGCGTAAGACATGAAAACTGGATCGCCTTTGGGTTGCCGTGGCCAGAGCCACGCAAGCGAAGGCCACTTGCTCGTGAGTAAGCCTCAACTGGGGTGTTTGGTTTCAACCCTCGACCACTTCCGGTGGATGGTAGGACTTGCACAATGCCTCTAAAATGGTTCTAATAAGGCCATGGGTCAAATCCAAATCGTACCCCCAGTGAACATCCCAATCCCACTAAATTGGGTGGTACACCTACCCCAAGATGGTACCATCGGTTTTGACCCTCAGCCATATGGCAAAGGAGTGCCTGTTTTGGTCTCCTTAGCTGCTGGAAACAGTCAAAGTTCTGGAAAAGGATACCCTCCCACCAACTAACATGGAAGTGCAAACACGCCCTTTCCAAGAGGAAAGTAGTCTTTCTACAGGGGTCTGTGCACTTCCATGTTAGCTGGTGGTAGGGTACTGTTCCAACGAGGGCTCCGAATAGAAGTTTTATTCGAGGGTACCCTTTTTATGGTGGCTTGAAAGGGGAACTAAAAGAATAAGGAGCTCTATTTTTTGTTTTGGGGGGGGGGGGTAAAAAGACAGATATGCCCGAATGTCACTTTCCTTTCGGACATGGGTCAGTCAAAAGCCGATGTTTCACAGCCTGCTGTTGGAAAGCCCGTGCTTCTACCAACTTCGGAAGCTTGGTCAATGTTCAAGCCACACGTGGGACCACCTGGGATTCACACTGCAGATTCACATGGAACTCCAAATTCAATGCCATCATTCGAGACAGATTTATCCTTTTTGGGGCATTGGCCGCGACTTTGCCCCGATCGAACAGTTGTTCCCGACTCGGACTAAATCTTTGGATCTACCAATCTGCTACGCTGTGAGGCATCGAGATATCTCCAGCTCAGCGCGACGGGCTCGGGAATATCCTGCCATTCATCTGGGGGCCAAGGGCGACATTTCTATTTTTTCAAATCCCACCAGGCCCCACCACAAACTGGCAAAGCCGCTCGCTCCAAATCCCCGACCTAGAGGTTCGCCGCCCCTCTGGGCGCCTCCGTTTGAAAAATCCCAAGTCAGCACATATCCAAAGCCTTAGCAAGGGAAACCAGGGCTTCCAACACAACGGGCACTAATTCGTCATCTTTGACTTAAGGCCAATGACTCTGAATCAGTTTATACTAAGTCCCTGTGTGGATTTTTGCCAAGGAACATCAAAAGTTGTTGCTTGCCACTAAAATGTTCTTTTCAAAAAGATTGAAGCTCAGAAACTCAGGAGCGAGTACATCGAATTCAGGATGATCTTCTGACCCCAACAATACAACGCGGTTTTAAGCCGTTGCGCCTGCCTCACTTGTCCGGTCGCTCGAAAATGGAAAAGGGCGCGCTCGTCTCGTATTCCGCCCTGGCGATCTGGCTCTTGGCCGATTCAACCGTGGCTACAAGGAAATCAACCTCTTTTACCACACTTGATGATACCAACTGCCAAGCAGGTTGAAGGCCCAAGCAAGATTGCCACCCCAAACTTCTACCCCAACAGTTAATGGAAGAATAATGAGAGATACTATGGAGGAATGTACCCTGCTTCCCCTCGTAGGGTTTCGGGGCCAGTGGAAACAACCTTAAACAAAGATACCCCAAAAACACCGAGCATGGCAAGGCCGACGACTTCACATTGGGTTTGGGTTTGGACGATCCCGAAAAAGACCAGCCGCATGCAAGCCAAAATTTGGTTTTCCCCGACTTGACTGCTTGGTATCGGCAAATTGTCAGACCCTCGATTTGACGCCACAATAGGGCGAAATCGTCCTAGCATCAAAATCTGCAACGTTGGGGATGTCACATATAAGTATATATGTGACATCCCCAACATTGCAGCCTGCCCATAGCTCCAAATGTATGGGCAAAGACCCCAAAGCTTCCAGCTGTGGTGGAAAACATGAGTTACAAACCAGTCCACTGACCACTTACCAAGCAACTGGGCCAAACTGCCAGAAGGACGCTGTGCTAGAGGAATTCGAGCGCCGCCGTTCATGTAACGACTGCCTGTCCAAGGGAAAACCCGAACACCGATATACCCTCCATGGGGGTTCCAAACTGAAGCGGACTTCCATTTGCTGAAGCCCCTGAAAAATTAAATCCAGTAGCGATAGATTCCCTTTAAAGCAACAGGGGAAACTAAGCAAATGGACGAAGCGGTGTCAGTTGCATAGACCGGTCTTTCCTACAAAGGGATCAACTATGGCCAGAAAGCCTAACTCCGAGAGTGAGCTTCCAGCGGAAAAACGATCCCTGGCTTTTGACACGTCAACAAGTGCTCCCTGCGCCCTTGACCGTCGGTCTGACTCTCAGGATGTAACAGGCCACCCCTCTCATGTTAATCAACCCGGTTTGTTAATAGGGGGTGTCCCCCCTCAAAAGTGACCCGTATTAATAAACTCGGGTTGGTTAATATGGGTCAACATTATTCGTATAGCAACCCTTGGGGCATGTCCGGCTTACGAAATGGCCGGTTTGTTGGAGTACTCGCCGTGGGCCTCCTGCGCGTGCGGCTTTAGGATTCAGCGCCACTTTGCGTCAACCTGCAAACGCTGCATTAAGAAATGCCCATTGTGTCAGCCGGAGCACCGTGCTTTTCCAGCTTCTGCCGTTCGGTCTTCCTGCCGTAGAACACCACCCGGCGCTTCGCACTGCGGCTCCGAGCCCTGCAGAACAAGAAAGGCATGTGCGTGGCGCCCAGGTTAAGACAACTCACGTCGTGTGAAGTCTGAGTGCGAAGTCGGGCGCGCGCCCTGCTGAACCTCCGTGAATGGTGGGGCCGTCGTGTCGAGCGGAACTTCCATCCAACTTCCCTTGAAACATTATCCCAAAAGAAAGATTTGGCTTTTGGATCTACCAAGATGGTTCTGACGGTTCAGCTCTCGGCTATAAATCAGGTGAAGCCAGGTAGCAAAACCTCCCAAAATTGCCAATGCGGAAATCGGGCTCTCACTTGCGCTCGCCGTCCACTTCGGGGGCCAAAAACCCGGACGCGCACACCAGAAGGCGTTCACACAATCCACTGGGGCCTGTCAGTTGGGTCATCCCTTGTGGTTTCTTCTAAGGCACTTCCCAGGTTCATCGCCAAAACCCGGAAATACATTCCGTACTAAAACAAAACAATCAGCAAGACGGTTACAAGTGAGTTCTTTGTACATGTCAATAACTCAGCTGACAAAAACTTGAGAAGCATGCCAAACGCGAGTGTCCCCAAGAAGGAAATGAAACTATATCTCTGAAAACGAGACACCTTTGAAGCCTTCAGGAGGTGGTCTAGTTTGGTTTGTGGCTGTGATCGCCCTCAGGGCCGCCCCGAAAAAGCCAGCCAAGGGGCGATCGATCAGCCGGGTGCCTCTCCACCGGTTCATTCACTACGCTGAAGACCGTGGTCAGGGTCAGGAGCAAGGCAGCTGGGCACCGAGCGAGCTATTTGGCTCTCTTCGGGTTTGTGAATGCACCGGAAGGGATTTCGACCATCGATATGTTCTTGCTTTGAGAACCTCGGGATTTCAGTTTTTTGCGGATTGAAAGGGAAATCAAACAAGGGGAACCGACGCCATTTCCAGACGTCTGACGAAAGGTATGCCCATGTGGCTCACTTGCCCAAAGGACTTGAAAATATAAGGTGCTCAACGTTTGGAACCTTGACTAAAAATGGCTACCAAATCAGAAAAACCAAAAGGTTCAAAGGTGGCCTTGGACAGAGGAAGGGATGTTCAATTTCTGCAAGCCACTAGTCAGTTCGGGGTGAAACAACTTCCCCGAGAAGCAAGAGTAAGTGCGAGTTCTTAACCCACGTATCGAGAGGAACCCTCCACGGATTGGCCGATCGTTAGATTTGCAGCGAAGGAACCCCAAGCAACCAGCAATGGTCTCTATTTGGGTCATTCCAACTCATCAACCACGTCCTCTTTTAGGGTCCCGGCCAATTCCTAACCAAACCAGCCCAAACTTGTTTTCTCTCCTGTTTTTGGGGAGCCTTTTGTGGTTGGATAGCTAGCTATGGATGTCGTTTTTAGGGTGCCCCTCAAAATGCCTTCGGTTGTCCTTCTGGTTTCCCTTTGAAACCACCAAAGGAGGGGTACCGAGGCTCAAACAAAACGAGCCACCCACCGACCCTACCAGCCGTCTTTAACGGACAAAGGACCTAGGCTTCCGGCCTGCAGCGCCCACATACACGAAGATAGGATCTGCCTCTGGTTCGGTCACCTGCGATCCGTTGACTCTCCAGCGGATATGAGCGGGGCGGATTTGGGGGTGTCTTCAAATTGGGGACCCCCCAAAAAATGGCTGGTTTCCCTTATTTTCCCTTACAAGCACCCCGACAAAACACACACACACACCCATTTCGTAAGAGAAGGGAGCTCATTCTGGCCGTCCTTGGCTTGCTACTTCTCCTGAGCTCCCTGCTGGCTTGCTGGTTTTCCTTGCTTTTATGTTTCCTGTTTGGTGTTCATTTATGAGTGTGTCGTTTTGTCGAGGGGAACCTCGAAAAAGGGTGGTTTTTCTTGTGGTATCGTTTTGAAACCAACCCCACAAGGGCTAGTTATTTATCTGATTCATGAAAAGTTGGACAAATGAAGCTTAGCAATGGACGGTCGCACACATGAATAGGTGCAGCCATCCATTTGATGCTATTTGTGGTACCAGGTCTGGATTACGACGTATTTTGCTTACCTGGCTTCAGCTGAACTGAACGATTTGGGCCGTTTTTGCAGGGTGGCAGCCCATCTTGGGAGTATTCGGTTCGGGAAAGTGGACCCAACTGGTGATACTTGTTTTGCATATTAAACAGGATTCCAACATGATACTGAAGAAAGTCAGAAAATGAACCGTAAAAAAGTCAACCACCCAATTGCGCAGTGACCCTGGCAGAAAAAGAACTCCCTTTCTGTGTTGACAATGTGAGGTGGTGAAACCCACTGCAAACCGGGATAACCGCCTGTTTTTTGCTTGGTGCAGTGGACCGTCTTGCTAGCTTGACGCATCATCTAAGCCAGAGCCGCTCAGCTGATTCTTCTGCTTGAGCAGGCCTACCTTGTCAGCCAGAACCGGCCAATTTGTTGCTCTACCGCATCTGACAATGCCGATTAAATTCCTCGGCCTCTTAATTACTATAATCGGGCTCGACATACACGATGACATTGCTGCATTCTCCTTTGGTGAACTTTCTGATATCCAGTCATATTCATTTACCATACTTCCAGTTTTGTATTTAAAATACCGCCGTGATCCACGCCGGCCGCTACATAGGGATAATCGGGTACAGTACACTGGATGGAAAGCAAACACAATACCCATGCACAGGTCTTGGCCCATATCGAGGGTACGGAAAAGAATATATGTTCAAAACCAGTGCGCAGGGTTGGGCAAAACAATGCTTGAACAACCAGACCCTCCTCTTGAAAGGGGCACCATATTCTCAACTATTCCAGGGGACAGAAAATATGTTCAAATCCTGATCGATATTTTCTTTGTCGAGCCTCGGAATTTCTGGCTTTGTGGTTTGCAAGGGAAAACCAAACAAGGTGAACCAAAGCCATGTCCAGATGTCCAACGAAAGACATGCCCATTTAGTCTGCCCTATACTCACTTCCCGAGTGGATTGGCCAACAAAAAGGTCTGAACTCTCTATTTACCACCAGAATAGTGCAGCCCCCAGGAGTGTTTAAGTCCAGGAACTCAGGAAGTGATTTGCCACCAAAATAGTGCAGCCCAAAAAAGTGTTAAGTCAAGCAAATCAGGAAGTCAGAATATATACATATATATATATATAAATATTGAAAATCGCAGAGTCAGTCGCTTCCCTTTGGAACCGAAGAAATCACCCCGTGGATGCCTGGACGAACTCCACGTCGTAGATCAGGTCACCAGCAGGACCTGGAGCCTCAAAAGCCCACCGAAACACGTGCCGACCATGGTACTGTGGAAAGCTCTCTACAACCAGGCAGGTTCAGAATGAAAAAGCACAATGAAAGCCTGCTGAAGTTTTTTTTGTGAAGTTTGGCAACCCTTTCTGAAGTCTTTCTCAAAGTAATGAACGCCTTTCTGAAGATTGGAATGTGTGGGGTCTTTGACTGGGCCACTCGCGTCTTCCTCATCCATGCCGTCCTGCGCACGATCGCTGCGGGTCCTCCCCAAACCAAGAGTAGGCAACATCTGTTCGGGTTTCCGACTGCTTCAGCCGTAGACATGGGGGTGAATTGGGCTTTCAGGTGGTTCAGGCTTGGGGTTCGGGGTTTAGGGCTTGGGTTTGGGTTCTGGGTGCAGGGTTCAGGTTTAGGGTTGTAGCTTAGGGGTCAGGGTTAGGCTGCACGTGGCTGCGAATGCGTTAAATGGATCGACCGCGGATTGAACCGCAAAAGCCGAGAACTCGGCAAGCACGATTCCCGCAAACGGCGCTCTGCCCTTCCTGAACAAACACAGAAACCTTGCGGAATCTCTACCTTCCTGGCCCAGCCCAATCAATTTTCCAGAGTTGGCTTTCCTGGCGGTGCTGGGATGACATTGAGACCTCCGTCAAGCACCTTCTTGGGAGGAGAAATCCGAGCCCAGGGTTCATTCCTCTGCAAACATGGAACTTCAAAAGGTCCCCCCCAAAAGTAGATTTGCACATGACGGTTCTTGGGTTCCATGTGAGTTCGTTTGCAATGACAAACAAACAAGAAGTATTTGCAGAGGGTTGTATACATATATACACCAAATATATATATATATAATGTACATACACATATGAATACATGAACAGTACTTCTACACCTGCACACCCCCACGTGCTTTTCGGTGGCAGATCCCCCACTTGAGTGCAATAACCCAGGTCGCGCTGTCCGTCACGAAGCCGAGGGACGCCGGAATCCAAAGCCTCAGACGCGAGGCTTGACGTTGTTTTCTCTTGAAACCAGCCTGCCTTGGCCAAAATCGGAAAATCTGACCCTCAGGCATTCAGGTGGGGGGTTGTGTCCTCCAACGATGTTGAAGGGTCTGTCCTTACTAAACTCATAGCAACGCTGAAGAGTGGCCAGCGGCCAGCAAGAGTGAATTCTGACTTGTGATGGGGCCACAGAAATGATTGCAAACCGGGACTTAGTGGGTTCGTGGATCCATTGCTAAAAGGTAAACATTTTGTGGGAGGTGTCATACGCACCTCAAAGCTACACAAGTCTAAGAGGCATGGCTGGCAACCGTAGAAGTGGACAAACACAGGAGTCGACCCAAAACTGATGGTAAAGACTGAACACAATGGTATTCAGCCGCCTCGCTTATCCTTGGGGGGATGTAGAGCCGCTGATCATGGCGAAATCAGTGTTTAATCCCATGCCACCCTATGAACGAAATGTTTCACACAAATCCAAAGTCCCAAATTATTAATCTAGAATACGTCAAATCTAAAACAATACTAAACTAACGAATTCAAGCCATTCCCCTCCAACCCCCAAATCAAGGCGCATTCGGGAGCCCCTTAGAAACTGTAGAACCAATACTAAACCAAACCCAGAGCTAACCAATACTCAGCAAACACAAATTCGAAACATGTCGAAACATGGAGGGCCATGACTCTTCCATTTGGGTAACTAGTCATCCCAGATTGAAAGGGTCATGGAGACTCCGGGTACTTCTTATTCAGAATTTTCCATTGACGATTTGTTGTTCTCGTACTATTAATAGGGGTGCCTCATTTGCAGCACGGAGAATCGAAAAGGACGACTTGAGGGGACGAAAAAGGACTGAGCCAGAACTCGGCCCCCCTGCCCGGATGATTGAATACTAGTTTTTGTTTTTTGTGCGAGGGGCCTATAGAATTGGAGACGTCTTGTCAAATTGTGTTGCTCTTCAATTTAAAAGCTGAGTTGCCTGCGTTTCTCGTGGCAGGTTTCTAAACATCGCTAAAAATGGCCCCCAAAACCACGGTTCGCCCGGTTAAACTCCCTTCTTGAACGCCGCCCAAACAGTGACTACAAAGTCCAAGAGCTCAGTTTAGCGAGTTGTTTGCCAGGACACCGCCGCTTCTCCCCCGGCGACATCGCCTGGAGCGCCTCTTGCCAGCCTGGAGTCCCAAGTCCCGAGTCCATGGCCGAAATCGAGTTGGGTATACCATTCCTGGGTTCAAACCACCATTCATCTCATCACCACCATTGTTGTCCTAAGGATTGTCATCCAAATTGGATCATTGCCTTTCTTTTGATGGGGGGTGAACTCTGGGGATTAGTTGAAAGAAATACTATGTACACCTGGGGCAGGTTTGTCGCTCATGTTTTTGGTGTTTGGCCTGCATTTTGGATTGAACTATGCCCCTTGCCTTAAAAAAAAAAAACAAAAAACAAAAACTTTCGTATGTAGATATATATATATATATATATGGCACTTAGATTGATGGGATGTGGGCGGAAACAGATGATTGAATGTCTACATGTGAAGTGGCGCCACGGGAACTGGCGGAAGAAAACCAGGACACAACAGAAAACACTAGACATACATAGATGTATGATATCTTCTAGCATATTGTGTCTCATCTTTAATCTACAATATATAATGATGTTGGACCGGTACATGTCCAGAGCAAAAAAGGCACCATTCGTGGGGTAGTTGATGCTGTAAGGGGCCCACCCCTCCCAAAAACACTTGAACACAAGTGCATCATTGGGTCTCAGCCCAAACCTGGACAACACCAAAAGCTAAAGACTTTCAGACATTGTGCTTCATTTTTAGTTCACAAGTACCCTAGAATACACACCAACTTTGGAGGAGACCCCGCAGACGGTCGTGGAAAGACAACCCAAAAGGAGATTCCTCGGAGTTGTTTGGTTCCGTGCTAGTAGCCTTCCGCCTTCCTGAGGCTCTACCTGACCCGAAAAAAGGGCATGGTAGAAGCAAAATCCAATGCCTACTCCTCTGCAGACTGCAGATCAAATTGAAGCCCGAAAGAGGGCCAACCCACCGATGTGTTTGGTTCCCCTTGCGAGGAACCGTTTGGAGTGACTAATATGGACCCCCCCTCCAATTCTTGGTTGTGTGGGTTCCATTTCTGGGCATGTGTCAAAATAGCAATTGGAACCGCCAACTTGCATTCTTGCTCTTGGCTTTGCTTTGAACCAACAACAAAGGCTACCATCAACAAACACAAACCCGTTCGGGCGTGTGCTTGTTTGGGACCCCCTTTTGGATTGGCTTTAAAGGGAAAACGGGAAACCCGCAAACCATTGGCGGCCCAAAGCCTCGATTGACCCAAACCTGCAGTCCAAAAGTTGCGCCTGGGATGACGCTAGTCATCCTCACCTTGGTGTCCTCTTGCCGGAAGAAGGAGCCTCAGGTTCGAAGTCCGAACATGTCCAGGTGGAACACCCTCAAGTGCGGATAGAAACCCCCATGGAGGAAGGGTACCCATCACCCGCGTTTTTCTCACTATAGAAAGGGGTAGTGGCTAAATTCCAATGAAGATGTGTCTGCTTTCAAACCGCACCAGGGCCAAACCGGCTCTGGCAATCAAGGCTCAAACTAGCCTTTGAGCAAAACAAGCGCCTTTTGCGTTCTGTTTGCAAGGGGCCAGGGTCTGATCAAAACAGTTTTGCCTGACCCTGCGTATGTGCTCCATATATACCCTCCCACGAACTAATGGGCGTGCACACTCTTTTGGAAAAGGAAAGTCCCCTTCAACAGGGTTCCCAACGTATTTACGAGCATGATAATTTGGGACACGCGCCCCACCTTAAACTACCTTCAAACTCTATAACCAAGTGGTTTGAGGGACGTAAGAATTCAACATAACATGAGTGTTCCTCACAATAGGGCAACCCTAAAAAGCTCTGGTTTCCTTTCGGCTTCAATCTAAGGGGGCGGTCCCCCTAGTTTTCAGATACTGCCACATCCGCCCGTTGATTCAACCCAAACCTTATGCACCTTTGGCTTGCGACCTCGGCATCTTCCTTGTAGCTGTATGCGCAATGAGGAGCCTCGCTGGATTTGCTCACCTGGGGGGAACAACTGGCAGCTGGCCGGCCCCTGAAATGGGGATTTAACCAAGTGGGGTTCTGGGCCCTGGATGTTTCGTGCAAGCTTTCGGAACCTTCCGGAATACGCCACGTCCTTCTGGAACCACCGGAACCCTCCGGAACAGGAATTCGAGTTTCTTGACTATACCCCAAGGACTTAAACACCCCGGTTCATTTCCTCGAAAGCACCCGGAATTCATCTCTCCCTTGGTAGTGAACAAATGGAACCCTTCCCGAAGCCCAGCTCGGAGCTGTTGAAGACTCCGGAGCTACTCAAAGACCCCATAAATTCCAGCTGAACCATAGAACCCAACGAATACTCACTTGCCCAAAGGACCTGAAAATAACATGTTAACCTGCTGGAGCTTTGCCTGAAAATGGTTACCAAATCAGGGAAACCAAAAGGTTAAAAGGTTGGCCTTGGACAAGTGAGTGTCTTGCGGTGTGCTCCGTGAATTCTATGGCGAATGACGAACACCCACAACAATATTTGATGAACAGTCCTGCAAATGATGTACTCCAAATAGTGATGATTTGAGCATCCCAGCCACAAAGACGAGACCTGACCAGCAATATAAATTACCGCAGTTCCCGCACAGCATGGTGCGCTTAGTAGAACTCCCTCCTGCTTTGTGCAATCAGGTTCTTGGAAGTCGAATATGGCACTCTTGATTCATGAGCAGAAGTTTGGCTTGTGCATGCATAGGTCCTATTTCCGAGTCCCCAGTTGGAACACCTTTTGGCCCCCGTTCAAACAATTGTTCACTTGTACCTCAAATTGGAACATGCAATTATGGGTGCTCATATGGATATGTGTCACAATAAGGGGTGGACCCCAACAATGGTGGGTTTCCGTTGGTTTTTTCCCTTTGAAGCGCACCAAAATGAGGGGTTCCGCAAAAACACAACACCCATACAATGACCCCTTGCTCACCCAGGAAAGCTCAGCTGCGAGCTATCGATGATCTCACCCGTCTCTGCTTTCCAGCCAGTGTACCTGCCCAGTGCTTCCAGTTCCCACAATACATTTTGGCTGGCTCATGTTCCTACAGGGAAACCAGGATCAATACACCTTTGTTGGCTAATGGCGGAGGTGGGGCCCAGCCCCCTCCCCCCGCCGATTCATGTGCCATGTTGATTTTGTAATATCTGGGGCCGACATCACGGTTGAATCCCAAAAAAAGGACGCCTCTCAACTATACCCACCCCTTGGCATTTGATGCAGGGCATCTTCCTTCCGGATCTCCAACCAGGCAGAACTTGGCTGCCTTTGTGACAGGTGCACCAATGCCAAAAGCAAGTGACAGCTATGCCAGCCCCAGAAACCCTCCCTGAAACCAACCCCAACGAGCCTGAGACCCCATAGCTTCAGCAGCAATGAATTCATGGACGCCGATGTCCTCTGCACCGAGCCCAAACTCATACGGGCTCTGAAGATGGGTTTCGGACCCCCGTTTTGGTTGGTTTTTAAAGGGAAGCCAACAAGAAACCCTTGCCATCTTGGCGACCACTTGGAGAAAGCTTTACGCCTATCAAACTTGGAATTATGTGGTTACAAAGAAGATCAAGCTCCCGATGACGTCGACACCTTGGCCCACAGCTTTCACCTGGAGAAAAAAAACAAGACACGCAAAGGTGGGGTCACTGGATTCCCCTCCAAAAGTTGATTAATTTACTGGTGGCTTTCATTGAAACTGCCATTTTTGGTGGTTGCTAAGAAGGAAATGGAGGAAACCCTGTGTTGGAACTTGTGTACACGAGACAAAGCAAACTTACATGGATTCCCCCAAAAACACAATCATTCGAATCTCCTTTTGCGGAAAACCCCGCGCATTCCTCATGTTTCTGGGATTGTTCTCCGTGGAGTTTCAAGGAGGCCGACTCGGCGAAGGAAACGCGGCGTTCGCCTCACCACCACCGTGTCGGACATCAGCGGAGGGCTCCTGGCAGGTCAATTCAATTGCCCGATGAATTAATTGCAGAAGCCATCTTACCAAAGACCTGGAATAGGCGAAAGGCCGTCGAGTACTTGAACCTGGAGGATTGACCTGGATTTGGTGGCAGTCCATCGCAGCTTTATGGGGAAAGGAGGATTTATGAGGATTTACCTGGACTTGCCCTATGACACTTGTGCTTTTGCATTTCGAATATCCAACCAGCCTCAACCAGCGGTGGAGGAAAGCAGGGGCAGCAGGATGTTCGTCCCTACGTTGCCACGTTGAGGGAGGTTCTCTTTCTCACTTTGCGGGTGGATTGGGCAGAAAACATAATCATTGTTTGTTTACCACTACAATGGTCTTCCCAAAAAGTTCAAAGTGAAGGAACTCAGGGAGTGAGTACCTCAATCAACCCGAATTCAACTTTCCACCTTGCAATCCGATTAATCTAAAGTTGAACCGGAAAGTGCCGACTGCTGAACACCGTACCCTCCAAGTGACGCTTTCAAGGACAAGCATTCAAGGACTTCATAACATCTGGAGCCCCCAAGTTGAGACATGCCCCTATGTGTGTGCTTCTCAAAGTAGGAATCGGACCCCTAAACACAGTTGGTGTCCTGGTGTCTTCCGTTTTGACTAGTGAAATGGGGGCTTCTCTATTTCGAGAAACCCTGTCTTTGTTCAGTATCTTTTAGGCGCTTTCAGGGAAACCAGACTCACTTGCCCCAAGGGCCCGGAAAAACAAAGGCTAGCCATTTGGGCCACTTACACTGGGCCAAAAAAGCAAAAGGTCAACTGAGTGGCGGTGTTTTTATTCCGAAAAAAAATGTATTGATGTATCAAGCCCTTCCACGAAGCCTTCCGCAGTGTGAAGGGTACCTGCCTCAAGCGTGTACCTAAGTTTATATAAGTGAGTCCGCGGGCCTTCCGCAGGCAAGTTGCTTCTGGAAACTGAGGAAGGTAGCTTCCACGGCTTGCCATAGCATAGGATACCTGGTGTGCTCAGGATATGTCTGTTCAGAGGTAGATGGTTCTGAATCCAAAGCCAAAGCCAATTGAGTGGCGTTTGTTTTTCTGCCCGCTCAAGCTGTATAACATATCAACAAAAGGTAGCGCCGCACTGCAGCCGTGAGAAACTCGCGGAAGGATTGCGGAAGTTTACCATTATAATTATTATTATTGTTATGATTATTATCATTTTTTTGAGACACCGGGCCGCTCGATCCCCACAAACTCCGCCGAGGCCGCCCGGTGCCCCGCTGCAACACCTGCCACGCGAGGCCTGAGGAGCTCCTCAAAGGGCCGCACAGATGATTTGGTGTGTGTGTGTGTGTGCGCTTGTCTACCCCCAAACCAGCACCAAATAAGCACGACGGGTACATGTATGTTTATCACGTATATGTATATATATATATATATATATGTATATTAGAATACATATATTATTAAAAATATAGAGTATGATATGCATACATTACTCTATAATATAAATGTATATAAATAAATAAATAAATAAATATATATATATATACATAGTCGTGAACATGAATTACTGACCCCTTGGTGGACATCACTTAGGTGGTGATTCATGTCGCCACCAACCGTGGTGCCCTATTAACATCCCTAGCCGAGGGGGTCCCTAGTTTTGCTTCGCACTAAAACTTGCCCCAGCAAGGGTGCTCTCAAACAAGACATCTGCGTGTGTGATTGCTTTGTAGAATTGAATAAATCGCAGCAATAACTTGCTGCTTAAAGCATGTGGGTTTGTCTTTGTTCGATTTCTTTTGCGTTGATTCCCGTTTAGGTGGGCGACTTCTCTTTGTGGGTGACCAGGTGCCAACAGCTCAAACATGGCCCGTTGAAGGGGTGGAAATACACTGAACATAGGTGACCTTTTGGAAATAATACATGGCGCTGGCAAATGGAATAGAACCCATCTAAACCAGTGCCATCTATGTCTAATCGGACACCTACGACACTGGTGGCTGTGTCTACAATCTACGGGTAACTTGCGGTTGGTTCCGTTCCGTCCTTTTGAGTCGCACCCACTTTGCGCAAGGTCAAAAGTGGCTTTCGGACTCCCTGGAGAAAGCCCATGCACACGGCTAGTGAAGTCTAGGCTCCGTCAAGTCTTTGCGGTGCCCCTACTAAAACGAACAAATGGGCGTGGCTTTTTTAGGGGTCCCCCCAAAAATGGTTGTTTTCCTTTTTGGTTCGCTTCAACACCACCAAAAAACAGCTAACCTCAAAAAAGACACAACACACCCAGAAATCAAACTAAAAAGGCCACACCTGCACCACAAGAACCGCAAAGTCGGTTGGCTCCCAAACAAGCGCCGCACAGCTTCCATTTCTGATGAGGAGGCCTGCTAACACTTAAGACGTATATGTCAAGAATTGCAAAATCTGGTGGTGGATGATATAAGTGTCTAACCAACAACAGGCAAAGCCAACAAACA